AAAGAAGGAAGGAAGGGAGGAAGGGAGGAAGGGAGGAAGGGAGGAAGGGAGGGAGACCACTTTTTCATCACTCTCAAGCAGAATGCTTCAATCTAAGTGTGACTTCCACGGGTTGAAATGCTTGAGGGTGTAATTTCAAGAGCAGAAATGAAATAGGATAATTAACATTACAGAAGCTTATATTCTTTGTCGCTATTACTATGAAGTGTAGCACTCCTGTGTTACTTTGTGATACATCAGTGTAAAAACTAATTCCATCATGGTTGGTGTGTTCAGTCATCTGTGGTAGGTAACAATTTTAGCTGCAAGAGCAGCCATACTGAAGTATGGCCTGACATTGTCCCATGTACTTAGGGACATGGCAAAGCCTCTCAAGTCCAAGACAAAAATAACAGAACTGTAGAATCATAGAATGGCCAGGGTTGGAAGGAACTTCAACTCACCTAATTCCATCTCCCTGCTGTGGATGGGGCTGCTACCCCGTCAGGTCAGATTGCCCAGTGCCCCATCCAGCCTGGCCTTGAATGCCTCCAGCGAGGGGCAGCCACAGCTTCTCTGGACAGCTGTGCCACTGCCTCATGCCCTAAGTAAAGAATTTCCTCCTAATTAGATTTCTAACCTAATTTTTCCCTCTTTTAGTTTGAAACCATCTTGTCCTATTACTATCAGACCATGTAAAAAGTTGGTCTTCATCCACTTTATAAGCTCCCTTTAAGTCCTTAAAGAAAGTTACCACTAGTAATAACAACAATAATAATAATAAACAGCGGGAGAATAAGGTCATTGCGTTAAAGAAAGTTGTCTGCAATCAGCCCTGCAGGCAGAGAAGAGAAAGGCGCTGGAAGAGCAAGCCAGGGCCGCATCTGTGGGCCAATGGGGATAACGGGCTTCCTTTGCTCCATGGGCAGCTCCCCGGGGCCGGGCGGGGACATACGAGCGCCTGGAGGTGGGGCAGAGTTTGAGGGGTCTCAGCCTGGTGAGCTCTCGAACCCAAGTGCAGTTTCTCCCAGTCGCCGCCTCCTGTCCCTGAGATCCTTTGAAACCCTCAAAAATAAAGGGGGGCGGGTGGGGAGTTTTCAATGTTACACCCCTCTCTTTGGAAGGAGTGCGGTTTTCTGGCCGCTGCGACATCCCTCGTTAAACAATCAGCTCCCGAGCCCTGAAAGGAGAGGCATTGCACCCTTCTTGCTGAATGCACTCCTTAGTGCATATAACGCCAAGGCCTTTTGATGTCTCACAATGCGTGTTACGCCCCAAGATTGTCTCTTTGGACAGATCTACAACGCTTGGCTTCACGTTTGGAAGTTAAATGGCCAGCGAAGTTGTCGAAACTCCCACGTCTGGAGCTGCGCGGCGCTCCGGCCGCTCCGTCCCCGCCCGCCGCCGGGGCCGTGGGGCTGCGGGGCGGCGATGGAACGGCGGGGCCGGACCTCGGCCGGCTCCGGGGAAAGGGGAAAGCAGCCCGGCCCCGACTTTTTCTCTCTTTTCTTTTCTCCACTTTATTCTTTGGCAGCCTTAAAAAAAAAGAGGCCGTTTGCAAAGCGTCCTCCCGTGTAGGTGGCTTGTGTCTCGAAGCCACTGGCAATGCTGCCGCTCCATGAAATCAAAATTTATGATTATTCAAATGTTGGGGAGTGTGAAAAGAGAGGAAGAAAGAAGGAAAATTAATATTGCAGCTGTTCTTCTGATTAATGAGAGATAATTGCTCATGAAAAGTCACCCCTGTGGCATTTTGTTGTCTCCTGGATCTTTGTTCTTTTCCACTATTATTGAGGACTTTCTTGAAGACTAAGCGGTTCTTTTCAATTTTTGGTATTCAGAAAGTGTTGCTTGGTTACAGATAATGGAGAAATCTCGGGCTATATCGGGTAAGATGTGCCACAGACAGCAATATCACAATGCCACTCTCAGAAAAGGATGGATACAAGTTAACGATGCGCTTTCAACAAAACATTAATAGACTTGTTCACGCTTTTATAATGACCTCATTAATGGGAGCTGTGGCCAAGTCCTGTCTTTTTTTGCCAGCGCTCCCTTCACACAGCCCGGCTCCGAGATAGCCAGCGGCTTAGGGAGCCGATCCCAAATCGATGTAAGACCGAGGAAGGAGCGCTCCCCCGGCTCAAGGGCCTGCGGCCCCGCGGCCACACGGGGTTTTTTGGGGGCGAGGGCCGCGCCCGCCCAGATCCCTCTTCGGGTCACGTTCGCCCCGCAAACTTTTATTTTTTCCCCTTTTTTCTCCTCAAAACGCGGCCACGAGGTGCGGCTTCTCTCTGCCGGGTTTGCACCGGGCGGGCAGTGCCTCTCTGCAGCCGGGGCTGGGGGAGGGAGGGGAGAGAGCCGCTTTTGTCGCATAAGCCGTGAATCTCCCCGACATAAAGGTGTTGGAGACATCTGGGAGAAAGGAGGGACCTGCGCCCAGCGCTGCGCTCCGCGGGCCGGGGGAGCGGCTCTGATGTTCTTTTTGAACTGCTCCACTTTCAAAAGGGGGCAATTTCGTTACATTCTCATTTGTTACACTGCCTTGAACTAAAGGCAGACAAAGCTATACTCTGTCACCCCGAGCAGAATGAAGGGAATCAAAGGATTTTCCCTTAAAAGGACTAATTTTCTCCTTGAATTATGAAAGTAATGGCTAGGTAACAGCCTGTGCTCTGTACCCAACCGCTTAATACCTTCTAAATCCTTCCACGTGGCTCTCCCAGTCGTAGCAATTAGAGCTCATTATAGGCTCATAAGAGCTCTCATTTCGGGGATTACTTAATGGACAATGAAATTTTATCGGACAGAATTATTGAAAAATAAAATCGTAACGAGGCCGATGTGATGTGGGCGCACGCCTTACATCATTCCGCCTGGTTTGGGATATCTCTGCTCTCAAATGACTTCTTTTCTTGCTCCTGCTTTCAGGGCTGAGATTTGCTTTGTGCTATTTTTTTTCCTCCTTTCTTTTATCACCGCGCTTGGTTTATTATAACAATTAGAAATCGCAACTTTGATCCGACTCTCGCTGTCCACCCCACTTACAGCAACCCCCCCCCTCCCAACCCCGCTCCATTGCTGCACACTGAGGTTTTCCACGCACACTGGAAGCCCTTCTTTCTAAGTAGCTTCTCCTGAAGAAAAAAAAAAAAAAAAAAAAAAAGAGAGAGAGAGAGAGTGAGAGGGAGAGAGAAGAAAAAAGGAAGAAAAAAAAAAAAAAGACAGAGAAGATAAAACTGCATTTTAACCGGAGAAAGTCCACTGCGTTCGCCCTGGGACCTTAACTACAGAGCCTTGGGAAAGGCTCCGGCCGCCCCGAAGCCTCGGCAGCGGTTTGGGGAGAGCTAGGTGAGGTCGGAGTTGACCCGTCGAAAGCCGCCGGTCCCTAATTGTTGTCACAAGACGCGGGATTAGCGCATTGCTGGAATAGCTGTCTGTTTACACTCCGGAGCCCCGCCGGCCGGTAAACACTTTCTAATTGAATTCTAATCACATTCAAATAGCTCCATAACCAGCCTCAGCTGCAATTCATAAAACTTTAATTGCCATCCATAAATCCTCAGTTCGCGGCTGCGGAGCTTCCCTAAAACTCTACGACATCGCGGCCGTCGAGGGGAGCCAGGGTCGTCCGTGTCCCCTCTGACGGGGCTAGGGCAAAGCGCTGAGTCCCAGACCGACGGAGAACCACCCCGATCGGAGGGCGGGCAGCGGTGTCGATGCCTCTGGTTTTGTTTTTCTCGATTTAAAGAGTGAAGGGGTACAGGGGATGTCCGCGTCCCTGCTCTGCGCGCGCCCACCGCCTCTAAAGGCGTGAAGGCTGCCGATTTCTCCCGGGCCGCACTCCTGCAATCAGCCGTGCTCTGCGTTTTCTGCCTTAGAGCACAATTGTCGCTCCCCTGCGCCAGCCGAGCGTCGCAGGATGCGCGGCCGCTTCCAAATGCCGCGTCGTATCTGCCCAACAGGAGTGCGATCGCCCTTCCTCCGCCGAGGACTCTTTTTAAACTCCCATAAAACAGGTCATTGGAAAATCGCGTAATATGCCGCAAATACCTCGGCCCTTTAATGCAATCTGAAATGCTCGGGAGCCACCGACCGTATTTAGCTGTTTATTTTTTTACTTTGAATGATTGCTTCAGCACATTCGGTGCACATCAAAGCGGCTCCGGCACGGCCGCCTCTCAGCAGCGCTGCGCGCCGGTCCCGGAGCGACCGGGCACTTGGCGGGGCAGTGGCGTTGTGGTTGCACTGGGCCGAGACTAGCGCCGGTGGGGAAGGCTCAATCCCAATTTGGAGAAAGCTTCGGATGCGGTGAGAAGGGTGAAAATAATAATAACAACAATAACAACCAACGCCAAACCCTGTGAGCAGAAGTGTTTATGGACACACGTAGGTGCACCCAATCCCGAATTCCCTACCTACATCTACATCAGCGACCCGAGCTCCTCCGCTTGCAAGCGGCCTCCCGGTGCCCCGGGGGAGCCCCGGTCCGGCCGCGAGGGCAGCGCTGCCGTTTCTCCCTACGCATCCCCAGCTCTCCCCTAGCTCCCTCCGTGCGGGATGCGGAGGTGCTGCCGGGCACAATGTTTCACCCAAGTTTATCTCCCCTCCGGCTCTGCTGCTGGACGGATGCGAGGTCACCGCTCCGCTCCGCACCCCTCCCCCTCCCCCCCCTCCCCCGGCTCCCACGCTCTCACAATTTGTCTGGGACGAAGGCGAAGACTGAAGCCATCGGGCAGCGAAAAAGCACGCGCGCACACTTGGTGCCCCCCTCCCCTCCCCCTCCCCTCGCCGCCTCTCCCGCCGGCCTGAGAAGCTGGGCAGATTTAGGTCCGAGAGGCTTTCAGCCATCACGTGTTTAAATAGTTGATATAAAACCCTCAGCGCAGGGGATCCAGGCGGGGGGACTTTAAGACCAGCCCTCTCCGGGGACCCTTTTGTTCGCCTCTCCAACATAAGCACCTTCTCGCCTCGCCAGGACTTCAGTGGCAGCCCGGTCGGCAGCAGCGCAGCCCGCCGCGATGTCGCGCTCCTTCTATGTGGACTCCTTAATCATCAAGGACTCCTCGAGGCCGCTGCCGGCCCTGCCCGAGCACCACCACCACCACGGCCAGGACTTCTTCATCCCCCTCGGCGTGCCGTCCCCCCTCGTCATGTCGGTGACGGGCCCGGGATGCCCGTCCCGCAAGAGCGGGGCCTTCTGCGTCTGCCCGCTCTGTGTCACCTCTCACCTGCACTCCTCCCGCGGGGGGGGCGGCGGTGGCGGCGGCGGCGGTGGCGGCGGGGCCATCCCGCTGCTCAAGGGCCAGTTTCCCCCCGCCGCAGCCTCCGCCGCCGGCGAGGCCCAGTGCTGCCCGCGGGGCAGCCCCGTCGCCCCTCCTCCGCAGCCCCCGCCGCCCGCCGTGCCCGCCGCCGCCCTGGGGCACCCGCCGCATCATCCTCCCGCTTGCGCGGCCACCGCGTACAGCGTCAGCGACCCGCGGAGGTTCCACTGCCTCGGCATGGGTAGGAGCCCGCGGCCGGGAGTCGGGGAGGCTGAGGCGGGTTTCCTTCCTCGGGTGTCCTTCTGCTCTCTTTTTTTCCTTTCCCTCTTCCCGCTTAACTTGTCGCTTGCCTCCCAAGGAGGGTCCGATTCCAGCCAGATCCAGAACGGGAAGAGGATGCGGACGGCGTTCACCAGCACGCAGCTCCTGGAGCTAGAGCGGGAGTTCTCGTCCAACATGTACCTGTCCCGGCTGCGCCGCATCGAGATAGCCACGTACCTGAACCTCTCCGAGAAGCAGGTGAAGATCTGGTTCCAGAACCGCCGCGTCAAGCACAAGAAGGAGGGCAAAGGCGCCCCGCGGAGCTCTCACGGCGGCTGCAAGTGCAGCACGGGCCAGGGCCACTTCCCCAGGTCAGAGGACGAGGAGTCCCTGTCCCCATCCTCAGCCACCGAGGAGAAGGAGATCTCCCCGCTTTGAACCGTCGGGGGCACCTCGAGCACCGCCGTCGGAGCCCGCGGGCAGAGGCTGTCGGTGCGGTCAGCCACGGCGCTGTGTGCAGACCCTGGGACGGGCACCTGTCCCGCCCAGCTCGGAGCGCGGACCCGGCCAGGGGTTTCCTCCCCGCCTCTCCCCAGAGCGATTTGAAGGAAGAAAAAGCCGCCCGAATTATTTCGGACAGAAAGCCGAGACTTTAAAACCTTAAAAGAACTCGTAGGCTGAGAACCTCCTGGACGAACTTTCTGAAAGTGAATAAGGAAGGCAGTAAAGCACCAGTCGCTTGGGTTCGGGCCGTCGGTTTGTTTGTGAATAGTTTTATATAAAAGTTCTATTTATATTTATTTAAATAAATGAGATCGGATGAGAATTTCTTCCTCCTCTTCCTATTCTTTATTTCTTTTGCCCGGGCGAAGGCACAGTAGCGGCCGGGGCAGTGTGCGCTTCTGGGCGCAGGGACAGCGCGGCTCCGTGTGCCACAATTCCGCTATAACCCAGCTGAGCTCCGCCGCCAGCAGCCGAGCGGCTCTTTGCCACCAACGGCTCGGGCGGGGCGGGGTGGGGGCTCTGGCAACAGGGTGGAGCCGAGTATACGAACGAGGCCGGGAAAGCACGGCCCGAAACCGACCACAGCTCTCTGCCGTCAGGGAAGGGAAACAGGGTCGGGGGCAGACAGCTGCCGCTGTCCCGAGTCTGCCGGTGCCGGCGTGGGGCTGTGCGCCTGGATACTCAGTTTCTGCCCTCAGTTTCAGCCTCTCGAAGGGGCTGCATGCACACAGCAACCTCGCTACTTTTATCCCATGCTCAGCTGGGTGGTGACAATCAGAGATCAGATTATTTAAAAGAACATTTTTTTTTAACTTCTTTTTCTGTGGAATGGAGAGCTGCTCGGTCCCAGCCGTGCCTCTTTATAACTTTTTCTTGGTTCCTCTTGTCCTGGAGGATGTGTGTGCCTCTTTCCTGCTGTGCTGTTCCCCACTCGCACCTTTCCCAATCCTTTCCCAGTGTGGCTTTTCCACTGACTCCATCTACACTTCTGACTTCAGCCCCTGAATCCAGTGCAGAGCCTTTAGGAAAATAATACCCCCCAAACACTTTCTGTGCTTGATTCATAACCTCAAAAGTTCAGCTCAAAGCTCCAATTCCAAGTGCTTGCCTTGCTTTTAATCAGAAAATGAGGAACAAGACCTCACACAGCTCAGCAGGAACTGCCAGTGCAGGGTGTAGTTGCTGAGGGCAGGAGGAGAGGGCCCAGGGTGGACTGCTCACAGTCTGTGCCAACTGAGGGGTCTGGGATAGCACTGTGATCCTTCCGGGAAGGTTGGCAACCAGCCTGGGATTGGGAAATAAGTGCAGAACCTCAATCCAGTGTTTCAAGATGAGGGCCTTCTCAGAGGTCGGCACCCAGCTGAACGGGGGGGCACACTGTTTCCCCAGAGGCTTTCCCTTCACAGCCCAGGCCATTCCCTTATGTAATAGAACTGTAACATCATTAATCTAGAAAAAAACGTTTTAGACCATCTATTCCAACTGTGTCCTCTCATAGCCCTTATAATTTCCTCACAGAGGCTCCTAAAGTCACACTTAGCCTTCCCCACCTGGAAGCTGTGAGAGGAGAGACTGACACCGTGGATATCACAGTAGTGTCACCATTGTTCCACAGCAGAAGGAGCTCCAGGCCTGAGGATCACTGCGCCCTTCTACATCAGGATGATGCTGTCACTGAAGCTGCAGGGGTGCTGCTTGTGTGCGTGTCTGTCCTCAGTGTAGTTCTGTGGAAGTAATTCAGGGTACAAGTAGGTGTTTCTGTCTCCTAATGTTCAGCACCAGAGATGTGGGAATACTTCCTTGAAGTATTTAACAATTTCTTAAAAATGAGAAGGAAAAGAAATGAGCTTCTCTTACCTGCAGTGTGAATGGTAATGTGTGCTGTTCAAGGACTGAAAGGAAACAGTGACCTACACTCAGTGTGCAAGCTGTGCCACTGAGGCAGCTGCTGCCATCACCAGACTTGTTTGATTTCATAGCGAGCATCGGATGTGAGAAGAGCTCTCCCCATTCCCATACAGGAACAGAGCTATAGGTGTGCCCTGACGCATCCTGAAAGGCCGTGACAAAGGGAAGCAGCGTTGCCAGGGCAGCCCGAAGGCAGGGACAGCAGCAGAGGGGATACAGGAACTGTGGGGGTGGCTGAAAGACCGTAGGACAGAACTCAGACAGCAGGTTTTTCCTTCCTTGATTTCGTGCTATTCTATACTCGCTGCAACCGCAGTGAACGAACAGCAAACTCTGCCCTCTTACTTTGGCACTTGTCTCGGCGGTGTTTGGAGGAGCTGCAAACGCGGCCGGATTTAGCGCTCCCGCGGGAGCAATCCATCAACCACTCTTTAGGAGCCCGCGACGGAAGGAAGGCTCAGCGACACACACACGGCCACTGCCGCAGCGGCACCGGCACCGCGCGGCTCCGCAGCACCGCCTGGGACAGCCGCCGGCCGCGTCCCGGTGCCCCGAATACGGGCGGTGACCCGACGGGCACCGGGCGGAGCGGAGCGCCGTGGGGAGAAAGCGGGCGCGTCGCCCTGGGGAGGAAACACTGCACCGGCTCCTTCGGGGCCCGAGGAGCAGGAGAGAGCTCTTGCCGCGGGTGACAGCCCCTCATTATGATACGGCCCGAAGCATCCCTCCTCAGGCATAAGAGATGCTGCAGGCGAACCCAAAGGGACCGGCAGCGTGTGCTGCGCGCTCTGGCAAAAGGACTGCTTGCAGATTAATGAAGGAGTGACAATTTCAAGGCTAACGTTGGCACTGCCCAAGCCAGAGCGTGGGGAGCTCGCCAGGCTTTGCTGTATATTGTCTGCTTTTCTGAAGAGCAGACAAAGATGGATAGAGGGACATTGAAAAGCGGGAGGCGTATTTCAAGCAGTCCCATAAAGGGAGTTGTCACTTAAAGACAAGAACCATAGTGCTTTGATGACTTTGTATTAGCCTCACCGCTTCACAGAAGTGACTCCGCTCCCTTCAGGGAATTCACCGACTTTCAGCAGATGACACGTTGGTGCCACAGCTTCGGGCAGTGACCGCAGCCCCTCGCCGCGGGGCAAAACTCCGCCCGGGACTTATTTTCTCACTCCGGGTCTCGCTTTGCTTTCCGTCCCCAGACCGAGTGACCTCTACAAAAACCGAGGTTTGCAGTATATGAGGACCTTCGGTGCAAACAGCGCCCGCAGAGCCCTCGCGGCTCAGGGAAGCCCCCGGCGCTCCCCGTCCCTCGTGTCCGCTTGTCCCCGTGTCCCTCTGTCCTCGAGCCCCCGACTCCCCACGTCCCCCTGCCCCCGTGTCCCCAGGGCGCCTCCCGAGACGCCCCCGCCAGTCCCAATCTCCCGTCCGTGTGAGGCGGGGAGGGAGGGCTCTGCGGCCGGGCAGGGTTCTCTGCCAAAACCGAGCATTTCTTCTTTCTTTCTTTCTTTTTTTTTTTTTTTTTTTCCTTCTTCCCCTCCTCTTTCCTAAGACAGGGACCCCCGACCGCTGCAGCCCCACAGGCTTTGAAGGCACAGCGAAAGGGCTTCGCTGTGAGTTTGAGCGAACCATTTAGTCACTGTTTCATTAGGCGCTATTTGAACCTTGCAACATGTGGTAATTTCTGGGGCAAGCTGAAAAGGGGGGATTACGGAGGAGGGACACAAGGAAATTAGCCAACGGTTAATTTAACTCGTTTTCTGGTAGAATTTTCGATACATTCCTAATTGACGGAGGAGGCAGGTGAAGTCTTCGGCTCCCGGCAGACTCATTCACGGTGAGAATAAATGGCTCTTTTTAACTCACACTGCTCACAATATATCATCGGGGAAAAGACATGCAATGAATATGTTGATTTTATTATTATTATTATTAATGGAATTACACCCTGCCACGCAGGTGTGAGGGTAACAACCCACACCGCGACGGAATCAGATTAACGATGAAATGAGAATTTTATTGGCTTTCTATGTCTCATAGACCCGCATTCAAACTGTCAAAACAAGGGACAAGAGGGGGAGAGAGATACTGTGAAGACAGAGGTGCCGGTCAGCAAGCAGAGGCAGCGGTATCCAAATCTCGCTATCCAAATAATAATTAGCCGTAATTCGCAGTGTATATCCACAGCCCACGCTCCACTCTGTTTATACAGCCGGTATGACGCGTGATTAGCCTATAACGGCCAGTCTCTTCCTATCCCGGACTCTGCCAATAGCTCCCATCTCCTCTCTTTACTACGAAACCCGCCCGCGGGGTCCCACATATATCACCCCGTGTGGGACAGCGGAGGGGCTCCTGGGCTGGGATCGGTCCCCCCGCGGGCGCTACCTGAGCGGTGCTGGGCCGCCCGCCCGCCGCCACCTCCGCTGGGGCCCCTTTGGAACCTGCTATAGAAAAGAGAGGTACTCTGCATGACAAAGCACAATTAAGCTCGCTATTCAGGAGCGCTGCAGCTGGTAGCCCATTGGGAGAGTGGGAGGAAACGCGAATATATTAATTATGCGAAGGGGAGGTGGAAAAAAAAAAAAAAGCCAACAACAACTCAATAATAACAAGAAAACCAACAACAAACGTAGGTATGGGCTGGAAATGTGTTTAGGTGGGTTGGTTGACGTGCGTGTGCCGGCTTCTGTTATTTGTTGAATATCTGATGGCACAGCCCCAGCCCTACTCGGCTATAGGTAAATGACACCCAGCCAAAACTCGTGTATTTTACCAGCAACAGTCCACAGAGGAAGGAGCACTCAGTAGAAGGAGGCAGCAACGGATCAAATCAAAGATGTTTTCATGCTACAAGTGCTCCTGACCTTCTCAAACAGTGTGAAGCATAGGCCAGAATTGGCCAACCACACATGCAGTTGATGCAGGTTGCTTTGAGCTAAGAAACCTTTGAACTAAAGTTTGTCGCTCTAGCTATTCACCAGTATAGTCAGCTTTTAACCAACCTATCACTGTTATTCCATTCT